CCAAGAATGGATTTTTTTTTTTTAAGATTTTATTTATTTATTTATTTGAGAGAAAGAGAGAGAGACAGAGAAACAGCATGAGAGGGGAGAGGGTCAGAGGGAGAAGCAGGCTCCCCGCTGAGCCGGGAGCCGGACATGGGACTCGATCCCAGGACTCCAGGATCATGACCTGAGCCGAAGGCAGTTGCTTAACCAACTGAGCCACCCAGGTGCCCCCAAGAATGGATCTTGAGACAAGCCTATAGTTACAAACTATAAAAGTGACTTTTACAATTAGCGTTACCCATAACTAATGAGTTACCTGAGGCACTTAACACTGCACAGCAGTGATCCTGTCATTACCCTGTATTTGGTAGATCACAAAGAGAAGAAAGTTCTATGAAATCTACAATTTTTTTCACTGTATTGTTTTTGCTAGAACAAATGTTTCTAACCCTCAAACATGGGTCTCTTTTGCCAATAAGGTAAAATTCCTGCTCATCTTGGTTTCTTCAGCAACTTGCATTAAACTTAGGCTAAAAAATGTCAAAGTATTTTGCCTAGGCTATCAGCATCACCTGAAAGCTTATTAGAAATGCAAATTCTCAGGATACCCCCACCCCATCAGAAACCCTTGGGTAAGGCTAGCAATCTGTGCCTTAACAAGCACTCCAGGTGATTCTGAGGCATGCTCAAGCTTGAGAACCACTGATTTAGGTTAGTAATGACTTGGACATATTTGTCCAATACTCAATTTTTCTTTCCTCCCAAGACACTTTCATGTAAGAATAGAAAGGTAATTAAAGGAAGTTAAGTATTTTCTTCTTAGGTATGTATCTCAAAGATTTTAAACAGCAACATGCAAATCAAATTAAAAAATTACCACAGTTTTTGATTAATCTTTAACCACTGTTCCTTATTGTGATTCAAAGATCCATGAATAAAGCTACTCAACAAGCTTAATCACCCTGTTTTCTAAGTTTTTTGGAATGTTACTATTCTTGACAAATGCAGACTAAGTAATTCATGTTTTCCAAAGAAATAAAATTATATTCACATACACATTAGTCTTTGCTATATTTCTAAATGATAAGGCCAAAAATAAACATATCAAAAGCTGTTCAAAAGGAAGGAAAAATAACATGATTTACCTAACTACCTCACAATATCCCAGCCAGAATTAGATTTCTTACAATCTTGCCTAGAAGTTGGTAGGGTCTTGGCTGAAAAGACAGGAGCAAGCACTGATGTGAACCATCTAAATTATTAATGTCCTAGGCTTACCATCTATACAATTGGAGGATGTATCTGATTTAACTGCCATGCCTGTCTCACAGGTTGCTGTGAAACTACACTAGGACTATAGAAATAGAAGCACTTAATCAATTAAAGATGTTACTGAAATAATTTCTCAACTAATCTTCTAGTTCCATTCCATTTCTCTGCCCTTCTCTATAGCACAACTTCTTCAAGGAGTGCCTCTACTTCCTTATTTTCTCTTGAAAGCACTCCAAACAGGCTTTCATCCTCATCATTCTAGGATATCACTCTTGGCAAGCGACCAATGACCTCCACTTTGATTAATCCAATCTCAGTCCTCTTCTTCCTTGACCTACCACCAGCATTTGACTCAGTTGAATAACTCACTCCTTGAAACATTTCATTTGGTTTCCAGGGCACAATTCTCTTGGATTTCCTACCTTTTCAATGTCCTTGAATGGTTTATTTTAATCTTCCAACCTTTAAATGCTGGGAGTGGCCTAAGGTAGAGTCCCTGCACTTCTTTTTTATCTATATTCTACTCCCTAAGAAGAGAGAACATCTAGTATAATGAGTTAAAACAGCTGTCCTTACACGGTATCCTTGCAAATTTCTTTTTTTTTTTTTTTTTTTAGATTTTATTTATTTATTTGAGAGAGAGAGAATGAGAGACAGAGAGCATGAGAAGGAGGAAGGTCAGAGGGAGAAGCAGACTCCCTGCTGAGCAGGGAGCCCGATGCGGGACTCGATCCCGGGACTCCAGGATCATGACCTGAGCCGAAGGCAGTCGCTTAACCAACTGAGCCACCCAGGCGCCCATATCCTTGCAAATTTCTATCTCCAGCTCCCACTTCTCTGAACTCCAGGCTTGTAGACACAACTGCTTATAGGACATCTCCATCTGGATATTCAGTAGACCTTTTCAAAATTAAATACCCATACTCAAAATTAACATAACACAACCTTGATATCCTCATCTCTAAACCAATTCTTTCTGCAGCTTTCTACATCTCTATGTATGGTTAACTCATGTCACACTCCTCAGACCAAAAACCTTCAGATCATCTGTAACTCCTCACCTCATTTTACTCCACATCTAATCCACCAGCAAATTCTGGTCTCTGTCACCATCACCTCGCCTGGAATACTCTAGTCATCTTAAGTGTTCTCACTGCACTCTGCAGCCTATCTCAAGCCAGGACAAGTCTTTAAAAAAAAAAAAGTGCATCAGAGCATGCTCTACCTCTACTCAAACTTCCCATTTCATTCAGAATTAAAGAGAATGGCCTACAGTAAGTAAGCCCTCCTATATAAAGCACATTGCTACCCTTTCCTTTTTCCTTCAATATAGGAGAATGCTCCTGTAACACGAGGGTCTTTCATCTGCTACTCCCTAGAAGCTCTCTCTCAATTCCTTTCACATCTCTGTTCAGATGTCAGTTTCTCATTCAGGCCTTTCCTATCTTGTGGCCCTCCCTATGCCCCCTACCTAGTTTTAGTTTTCCCTATCACTTATCACCAAAAACCTAAATAGTTTATTTTCTTCTACCATATGAATCTAAACTCCACAATGGTGACTTCTTCACGGCTGTATACTTAGTGCCTAAAACACTGTCTAGCACAATACCCTCTCATAGGAACTTTTTGTGATAAATAGTAATATTCTGTATCTAAACTACCCAATAGTTATCCACCAAGCACATGTGACTGAGCACTGGAAATGTGGCTATAACGTGACTGACGTTAAACTTTTAATTTTTAAATTAAGCTTTTTTTTTTTTTAAAGATTTCAGAGAGTGTGAGAAAGCACGGCGGGGGGGGGGGGGGGGCAGCGGGAAAAGGAGCAGGCTCCACTGAGTAGGGAGCCTGATGTGGGGCTTGAATCCCAGGACCCCGGGATCATGACCTGAGAGAAGGTAGGCACTTAACCAACTGAGCCACCCAGGCGCCCCTAAGCTTCTTTTAAGTAGCCACATGTAACTAGTGATTGCCACAGTGGAAAACTGTGGGTCTAGCATGTAGCAGGATCTAAAATATTTTTGAATGGATATTAAATTATTGTTATAGTTATATAATTGGAGTAAAAAGGATCTATATAAACTTATTTTCTTTTATAAACTTATTTTTAAACTCGGGGAAACATTTTATTTTAATTTACCTCCCTGCCTCCTACCAACAGTAGTTTCCAATGAATAGGGATTTGCTCATCTCTCATCCCTCTAGGGTCCAATTAGGCAAAAATTCAGGCAGCTCTAGGATTGGCAAAAGTAGAAGAAATAACGTTGAATAAGACATAAAAGCACTTACTAGATCATTAAAAATATAAATTGCAAAGCTCTTCCTACCTAGCAAGGAGAAAAAACTCCAGAAACCCAAAAATTATCAAATGAAACGCGATGTTACCATTCCAAAAGAGGTCCATGGAATAACAGAAGTAAGCCTATCCCCAGACAACAGATTATAACAAATCCTTCAATGGCAGTGAATAATGGTAGCTAATTATGTATTAATTCTCATAGGATTAGAACTGGTCAGCCTGACTACAAAATTTACATCACTGATACTTGTTCCCTAACCCAAGTACAGAGGAGATACTTCAGGACCTCAACTTAGTTGTCACCGATCTAACCTAGGATAAAAAAGATTATCAATAATTCAAAAATAAACATAAATTTTCTCTGAACATTAAAAAAATCAATTATTTATCTTAATGGCTAAAAACAGGTTTGTTTTTTTTTTTAAAGCTGACTGACCACATCTAATCTTCTGCAATAAACAAAACCCTACAGCTGTCAAAGAGAAATTCAAAAATTTTTTCCATATGGTTTCCAAACAAAGGGGTAATAATTAAATACAGAAAAAAAAAATCCTTACCTGCATGCAATGAATAGCTAAGCCAGGTCCTGTGTACAACTTCTTATGACATATATGGCATTTAAAATGTTTTGCTTTTTGGTGTTGTATAAGAATCTTCTCATCATCAAAATCTCTATTACAATACCTGATCAATGTTGTTAAGGTACAAAACCAGCATAATAATGACACTGCTTATAAAAAAAATGGTCATATAAGAGAACAGGAAGAAGAACATTAAAATATAAAAACAGTTTAAACCAAAAATGTAACTTATACAAACTTTGCTTCTGCTATTTACTATACAATTTGGAATTATCTTGCCATGTAATTCTACTAAGTTTCCTGGAAAACCCATAATCTCTCTTCACGACCTCTAAATGAACACATCTCAGTAATCAGCAATATAGTTTTGTCAAATCCCTGCATTTAACAAAGATTTAAGTGAAACTAACTTTTTTATTCAATATTTCAAAATTTAAAACATTTAAAATGCATACTGTGGATTGGACAGTTCAATGTTAAAAAAATCCCCAAGTTTATGTCAAGACTGAATTTCAAAATAGAATTCATTAAATAGAAAACAAAAAATAATCGAAATGTTAAAAATCTACCTAATATCTGGAATTTTAAAATATATTATTTAGATCCAAAAATAAGCTCATAATGAATAAGAACATATCCATATGAACAATCCATAGTTGTCTGCAACTCCTTACAAATGTATGTTGCCGTGGAATGTATCGAAACTCACAGATGTTACATTAATAAAACTGAGAATTTTTATCTCGTCAGATTTTTCTAAAAGCACATTAAAAAAAATTAGTGACTTTTTCAACTTAGCATGTAAATAAATGTAATTCTGTAACAAACCGTTTTTAAGTACAAGACAATTAAGTAAAACCAATTTTAACGTAAAGTGTATTAGCGCTTCCGGAAAAAGTGTTAAAAAGACGCCACGTTTTAGTAAGCAACAAGAAGCATTTTTAGTCTTACAAAGCCAGGTAATAGACACAAGAAACTCCACCCTCTAAGAGAACGCTTCTTGAAGATTAAGGCGCCAGCGGGTGAGACGCGGAAGCTAGTTCTCCTCCACCCCGGCCAAAAAAAAAGGCGGGGGGGGGGTCCGAAACCAGGGTCGACTAACACAAACCTTTACTAAACCACCGAATCTACAATAAAACTGAAAAAAGTGGGTGACAGACTCCGGAAGCTCTCCCCTAATCCTCCAAAGACTCAATCAGCGTATTATATTCGAAGAAAGTCCCTTTGTTGAATCGTCACCAAAACAACGGCGTGTGGCAGAATATCCTTAGGGGACACTGTCCTTGGTGGAGGGGTCCAAGCCGCCTCCCAGCGGCTGAGTCAACGCTCACACCAAAGCAAGAACCTCCTGAGTCACGGAGTCCCACGACCCCCAACTGCCAGAGCCTCCCGCCCTGGGGACTTCATTTTCTGCAAAGCATTCCCAAGTCCGGCTCCGGCCACCAAGCCGCCCACCTCGAGGCCTAGATCCCAGACGCTCTCTGCCACAGGCCAGAGCATGGCCTCCCAGTCCCAGTCACCACCAACCGGCGCCCCCGCTCGGCCTCGACTTCAAACCGATAAAGGATATCAGCACCACGGCTTCAGCTGCTTCTTCTTCTTGCGACCCATAACTGCGCTCTACCGACAAAGTAAAAGGGGGGGGGAACCAAGTAGGAAAAACGAGGCAAAAATCGCTCACTCTTCCGACCCAACGGCCACCACCGCGTCTCACAGGAAACAGACACAAAATGGCTGACGCCCTCGTTCCCCGCTCTGCTACCATCAGGCACTGCGGCCGGAGGCGGTGCCAGGCAGGGAAGGGTCACATGACGCAGACCTCCTCCCTGAGTGGGGGGAGACTCGTGGCCGCTGAGGTGTGGCCGCCATCTTGTTCTCTTAAGCTGTCGCGGCCCTCGTTGGTCGTGCTTGCTGATCCCTCCGGTTTCCTTTTTTAAGGAAGCTGGCTACCGAGGTACGCCGAGACGCTCGCTAATTGAAGGGAAAAAAAAAAACCTGGAAAGAGTATCATTGTAATTAAGGACAGACTACAAATAATAATGAGACAGCGCCCAACTTTTAATTTTTCGTTGCCCGGATTAATCCTTTCTGTAGTAAGTGTTGGGCATTTGCTTATTACATGTTAAGTTAAAGAAGTGGCAGTCTCTGCCTTGTAATACACAGATTGGTGGCAGATGAGTAATCAAGGCAGTGTGGTCAGCGCGGTGATGGGGGAAATACAAGGTGCTGCAGACCTCTGGAGGGGAGCACCAACAAGGGTCTTGGCGGTCATTGGGGTGTCAAGAAAGGTTTTCTGAAGGGTCCGTGGGAGCAAGGGAAGTGGAAGAGAGAGAATCTCATTGAAGGAGCAAAAAATGCAAGTCTTTGAGGCTGAGCACCTGAAAAACACTAATGGTGTTAGGGCTGGAGCTTACAGTGATGGGGCTGGTGGCAAGAGATAATCTTAGGGAGGAAAAAAAAGCGGGGGGAGGGAATGCAAGCTGGAGAGGAAGAAGTAAAACCGTGTTCACAGATAGCATAATCTTATGGGTTGGACTGTGTGTCATTGTGTGTGTGTCCCCCACACCACGCAATCACCCACAAAGAAAAATTAAGTCCTAACCCCCAGTACCTCAGAATGAGACTTTTAGCGGTGAGCAAGCTGACACTCTAGTAGAGGAAACAGACAATAAACAAATGTATAATGTCAGGAGTGATAAGTGCGCTGAAAAATAACTAAACAATATAAGGGGACAGGATAGAGACTTGCTGGGATGACAGCAGAGGTTTGTGTGGGATGTGTTTTGTATAGGGCATTTTCTGAATATCTGAGGAGGTGACATTTGTGCAGAAAATTGAATGATATGAAAGAAAAAGGCCATGCAGATATTTAGGGGCATTCCAGACAGAAGCACAAGTTAAAAGACTGTTACATTGGGGGAAAACAAAAATTGAAGGGTTTGAAAAACACCAGGAAATGTGACCAGAACAGACTGAGCAAGGGAGAGAATGATAGGAAATGAAGTCAGAGGGGGTGGTAGAGGCTAAATTAAGAAGGCCTCTGTGCATCACACAGAGACTTTTTCTTAGAATTCTAAGACCAGGGCACCTGGGTGGCTCAGTTGGTTAAGCGACTGCCCTCGGCTCAGGTCACGATCCTGGAGTCCCGGGATCGAGTCCCGCATGGAGTCCCGCATCGGGCTCCCTGCTCGGCAGGGAGTCTGCTTCTCCCTCTGACCCTCCCCCCTCTCATGCTCTCTCTATCTCATTCTCTCTCTCAAATAAATACATAAAATCTTTATAAAAAAAAAAAAGAATTCTAAGACCCAAGCAGGAGAATACAATATAAAATAACAGTTAAGATTATAGATTGATCAGGGTGCCTGGGTGGCTCAGTAGGTTAAGTATCTGCCTTTGCCTCAGGTCATGATCCCAGGGTCCTGGATGGAGCCGGAGTTGGGCTTTATGCTCAGCAGGGAGTGTGCTTCTCCCTCTCCCTCTGCCACTCATCCTGCTTGTGTGCTCGTGTGCGTGCTCTCTCTCTGTCAAGTAAATAAATAAAATCTTTAAAAAACAAAAAAATATGGGAGAAAAAAAAAGCCAGTAATGAGATTCCATAAGATCACCCTGTCTGCATTACTTTCTTGGCAGTAATTACATTCTGCCCTTCCCCATGTGTATACCTTGTCTCCTTCAATTGTGTTGCCAGGATAAAAACTTAAATACTGGATTGTTTTTCTATATGTGCACATAGTCTAGTTCATTCTTTTTAATAGCTGCATAGTCTTCAGGTACACATGTGTATTAGTTTCCTATTGCTGCTGGAACAAAATTAACCACAAATTTAGTGGCTTAAAACAACACAAATTTATTATATTACAGTCCTGGAGATCAGAAGTCTGAAATGGCAGGCCTGCATTCCTTCTGCAGCCTCTAGGGGAGAATCATGTATTGCCTTTTCTAGCCTCTAGAGAATGTGCAATTTGTGGTCCCAAATCACTTCCGTCTCTATATATCACAATTGCCTTCTCTCTGATTTCCCGTCTCCTTCTTACAGAGACTCTTAGGGTTATACTGGGTCTACTTGGATAATCCAAGATAATCGTCCCATTTCAAGTTCCTTAATATAATCACAACTGCAGAGTCCCTTTTGCTATGTGAGGTAAAATATTCTCAGGTTCCAGAGATTAGGACGTGGACATCTTCGTTGGGGAGTGGGGGGGGTGATTATTCTGCCGGCCACTGCATGTACCAAAAACTTACATAATCAGTACTCTATTGACCAACATTCAGATTGTATCTAGTTTTTTATCATTATAAACCATGTTGCAAGGAATATTTTTGGACTTGTATTTTCACATTTACATAAATGTATCCATTTGATGATGTCCTGGTGTTGCATTGATAGTCAAAGGGTATGTGAATTTAAAATATTGATAAACGTTTTCAAATTCCTTTCTAAACCATGTGCATTGAGGGCACCCAGCTGGCTCAATTGGTAGAGCATGCAACTCCTGATCTCAGGGTTATGAGTTCAATCCCCACATTGGATATAGAGATTACTTTAAAAAATAAAATCTGAAAAACAAATAAAATTAACCACATGCATTAATTTTATTCCTATCAACTGTTTAGGAGAGTGACTGCTTCTTTACACACCCCAACGCAAGGTATTACCAAACTTTCAAATGTTTGCTAATCTGCCAGGTGAAAAGCAGTACTATATACTACCAATTTCATTTGAAATTGAACAGTTTATTTACTTACATATTCTTCATTTTTATTCTGCAAACTGCCTATTGTCTTTCTTTTTTATTGATGAATGACAGCCCTTCATCCATTATATATGTTGCAAATATTTTTCCTAGTTGGTCATTTGTGTTTTGACTTTGGGCAACACAGAAGTTTAGTCTTTACCTGGTCAGATTTATTAATCTTTTCCCATGTGGTTTCTAAGTGTTTTAAATATTTAGAAAGGCCTTCTTCAAGAATCTTCAAAATTCTTCCATGTTTTCACCTGGGAGGGGGCATTTTAAATTCTTATATATTTTGGGGTGCCTAAGTGGCTCAGTCAGTTGGGCCTCCTACTCTTGATTTTGGCTCAAGTCATGATCTCGGGGTTCTGGGGTCAGGCTCCCCACTGGGCAGGGAGTCTGCTTGTCTCCCTCTCCTTCTGTTCCTCCCCCGCCTGTGCGTGCTCTCTCTCTTTCAAATAAATAAATTTTTATATCTTTTATCAAACTGGTGCACGTGAGTGCGTGTCCACGCTCTTGAAGGGTGGTAGGAGGGCCCATTCATCCTTTTCCAGGTGGCTAGCTAATAGTACCATGTTTATTACGTCTCCTAGACGTCTTAGACGATAGCCAGAGGAGAAAAGGGAGTCAAGAGAGAAATGGTAAAAGATTCTGCAGGAGGTAATTCGGCGCACCCACCAGCCCCTACCGGGAGTAAAGACCCCCGCCCCCGACAGCGGCTTCCTGGCCTGCGACTCCGGGAAACAGGCGGAACGCAGGTGCGCGAGGCCTGGGAGCCGCACGAGCCCGGCCTCGGAGGACTGTACGGCAGCGGGGGAGCGGTTTGGCGGGAACACAGGGCCGCTCGGAGGCCGGCGCCGCGATGCTCCCCTCCTTGCAGGAATCTCTGGATGGGGATGAAAAGGAGCTAGAGAGCAGCGAGGAGGGAGGCTCCGCAGAGGAGCGGAGACTCGAGCCGCCGCCCAGCAGCCACTACTGTCTCTACAGCTACCGCGGAAGCAGGTGCAGCGCCCACCGTCCCTGTGGCCCCGCCCCGGCCCCGCGTCCCGGCCCCGCATCCCACCCCTGGCCTCTCGCAAAGCCCTTCTTCCCCTCTCCCAGCTATATAGTCTCTGGTCCTAAGGACCCTCCTCGCCTCACGCCGTTCTTCCGGGCCACCGTCCTGGACTTTGGCGCCCCTCCTAATCCTCTGCGCTCCAACTGTCCCTCTCGACTTTTCAGCCCCTTCCTGTCGCCCCTGCCCTTTGGCGCAGCGCCTCGTACACTCATTAATGTCAATTTCCACCCCGTCCTTCCTGTCATTACCGCCCCAATTTCTCCCATTAGCCCCACGCATTCACACCTCCACCCCACCCTCCGATTATCCTCTGTTCTCGCTGCCTCCTTTTCCTCGGTCGGGGCAGACATTCCTGGGGCTCTCTTGGCCCTGGAAAGTCTGGTTTTTAGAGGTAATTTCCTCGACTCTTGTGGATGTTTAATTTAGCTTTTCCTCCACCTCTTAGACGGCCTGGAGAAGGGGCTCTTGTCCGCACCGTTTCATGGGTTTTCCCTGTCATGAGGCTACGTAGGCAGTGGAGGATCCACGCACTTCTAACTTGCAGCATTTTCAGTTGACTGTTCACCCCCACCCTGCTTGCCGGCGGGGAGGGGGCCGTACTGCGTTTGAGTTAGAGCCCATAACTGATAGCTGTATTGCTTTTGTGGTGTGCAGATTGGCACAACAGCGAGGGGACAGTGATGATGGAAGCCCAAGCGGCACAAATGCAGAAACGCCCTCTGGTGATGATTTCAGGTAAAAGCAGCTCGACCCTAACCCACGGGTGTGCTTTCATCTTCTCTGCATCTCTGTCCTGTAGATATCAGTGGGTACCCTATTTCACTTCAGCTTTCCCCGAGTCAAACCACCAAGCCCACCTATCCCCTAGGAACCTCATCTGGATTTCCTCATTAGTCCATTCATTCAAGGCTGGGCAGATACAAATACTGGAGTGCCCCTGGTGATTAAGCCAGAGGCAATCCATCTTAGTTCCTTGATTGGAACTGCATTA